ATTTTTCCTAAAGGCACAAGTGCGCGATAATGACCAGAGGTTAATACGACAGTTTCTCTCAGCACATCGTACTATGAACGATATCGTCTGCAACCAATATTCGGACATTTGGGATTTAGATGGTGTATTTGTAGTAAATGATGCCATATCAGACGATTCCTTCCTGGACATAAAAGAGGTTGTGAATAAAATACCACCATTGAGGCGACGGAGACGCAGTGCGCCTTCACCGGATTATGGCGAGGAAGGGGCGGAGGACCAGGAAGGTGGGTCAAAATTCAAGTTCTCGGAATTCATTCCTTACCAAAGTTTACAGTAATGCAATTCCGGGCGAGTAACCAGGGCAACCAACCCTAAACTGAAATGGTGGGCGTTCTATGGTCGAAACTCTTTCGAGCGAAATCAATGAAACCACCAGTTCAACTTGTATTTAAAACCATCAAAATGATAATGAATTTCATGACTTAAATACAGCATGGCTCCAGAGTTTCGAACCTGACCCCTCAATAGTTTTCAGGGCGCCTATCTGAGTTGTCACACAATAATGTACAGAATGAGAAAATCATAAACCTCTCATTTATATTATAAAAATTTAAATATGATAGTATAATTTTCATTAAACATAACTTTTACAATGAATATTTGTTAATTAATATATCTTTTATATTAATATTTCTTTCAGTCTATGATCCACTTAGCATGTCCTCACCGCTGTTTCTGGCATCGAGCTACAATTGGAAAACACATCAAGTCACTTTGTTATAACCACGCGCTTCGATTGCCATGCCAACCTCTTTTATATCAGTGTCTATAAAATGGCTCATAATAATAATTAACAGGATACGTTCAATATTACGTGATAAATATCCAATAATCATCTGTAGACACTACGTCCAATTTCAGCTGAAAAATTTAGCTTCGACAGATGAATATGAGCTATAACAAATAAATAAGACTGACATGGATCAACGATCAATATGTATCACCATGGTAATAACCGATTGTATTAGATTGATGATAAATAAATCTTGAATGATAAGAATATATATGTCGTCCGCACAAAATAATAGGTAAAACCATGCTGTTGCACCTCCTTGGTCAAACCACCCTATAGGCCTAAATCAAACTTAGCTCCCGATAGATACATTATAAGAGATTGTATACACGTGCCTGGTAAAATAGCAGGTTTGTACCATGAGGCAAATTTAAAGACAGGCTTAGACAATATTAGGCCTAGGTCCTTCACTTCTTTGAATGTTTTGGTTAGATGTGATGTCTTCTGTTAATTAAACTATCTTTGTTAGGCTCACAGGTCTATATTGATAATCATTATGCCATCTGAAGTATTGCATATTTTCCTGATTAGTCTCTTTTCTTTACTTTCGTGAGGCAAATTAAGTTATTGGAAGATAGTAACAATACTAAAATTGTCTCAATATATGTATTTTTTGCGTTACAATAACAACCCACCAGAGCAGGCGTACAATATTGCATATATAATTTAATTTCATTAGGATAATACATTGCATATTTAGCTACAAATGTACCACATTCACTATGTTATTTATTGAGAAATAAATGCTTGTTTAGTTTTATTATCAAATTATCATCTAGACATATTTCACTAGTTATATTACTTTTCCCAGTTTTATACCAAATCGTATTCATGGAAAACATTCCAATTACCTTCTCATATTTTGTTCAACTATTGCTTTTGAAGCATTCGTTGAAAGACGTGGAAATCTTGCGTATTTTTCGTAGATGTTTGGAAATTTAAAATACTCTTCAGACTCGGAGTTAGACGATTCATCTGAATCGAGATTATCTTCTTTGGTTTCCCTTTTCCGTTTCTTCCTCTTTTTAATTCTTTTAGATCTATTATGTTGATATCTCATCTTATGCCAGTTATCTTTACCGAACCTTTTTCGTATCTGTTTAATTTTCAACGGTACATTTTTTTCCTCGTTTTTTTCATGTTTTAGATGTGTTACTGAAGGTGAATGTATATTGCTATAAGTATGTTCACGTTTATTACGTGTGTTGTGGTCCTGGAAGATAAATTCTTCACCCCTGTGAAGAGGCGGGAATGGGGTCTCGGCTAAGATAGCTTCTTCAGATAAGAAATATTCTTCGTTGTGCAACCGTTCTTCTGGCGCATTAAACTGAGTAGAACATTCGTCAGTTTCCTTTATGAATTCTGTTTCATTTTCCTTCGTATTTCTCATTTGCGAATCCTCATATTTATTTTTTATATTTCCCAATGTCTCTTGGTCCATTTCATAATCTGGGCCGCTTTGTCTGTCCCTCACTTGGCTTTCATCACAAATTAATATCTCTTGATCGTCTTCGTTATTATCAGTCTTATGGGTGGGTTGAATTGACAGTGTTATAGGTTTTAGGTGATCTGTGGGTCTGCTTTTATAGCTGTTCATTTCGTTATGTCTTCCTATATTGTGGTCTTCATTATTATTCGTATCACGTGCTGGTTGAATCAGTGTTACAGGTCTTTGGTTATCTGTAGGCCTACTTTTGAAGTTGTTCTTTTCATTTAGTCCTCCTAAAATGCGCTCGTTATTATCCGTAGCACGCACTGGTTGAATGGACAGTCTTACAGATCTTTGGTTATCTGAAGACCTGCTATTGTAATTGTTCATTGTGTTTAGTCCGATATTTTGCTGTACTCGTATGCTTAACTCTGATAATCTCTGTTGTAATAAAGTTAAGTTGGGTTTATTATTTCGTCTCGAATTCTTCAGTTTTCGGCGAAAGTCCAGCATTTCTCTGGCAAGTTCCATTTTCTTTGTATCTTGTTCTCTCACTGCAAATGTAAACAGGAACATTTTGTTATTTCGCACTGCCATTGAGCATGCATTGAGAAAATATTTCTTTTTACAGTTTCTAATCGATAGATGGCGCTCTACATACCTTTCAAATGCTGATGAATTTCTACGCCATTGCCCTTGTATTCGTTTTGTCTATCAGCTCTGAACCTTAACACTAGGGAATATAGATCTGTTCTGCCGACGTAATACAGGAGTGTTTGAAGGAACACCAGGCTATTATGAGCAAGTAATTTCTTGTTCTCCAATAGTAATATAAAAGACCAAGAGTTACGGACATCATCGATATGATGTGTTGGTCTTACGTGGTCTGGGAACGAAAATAAAACAAAATTTTTTTTAAAGTATACCTACGAAACTATGTTAAACCAGGGAGTTGTTATCATACGAGAAACAGATATTTAAAAAAAAATTTAATTTACTGTAGTCTTATGGTATTATTCAACGCATTCTTATAAATAAATATAAGGAAGACGAACACGAAAAGAAATGTATGACTCCGAAAATAGTCGTAGAAAGCTATTGACAATGCTTGTATCGATTTCGGCCTGTCGAATTTCAATGATCAATTAGTTAAATGACAAGGACGTGACAACTAAATACGTTTAATGACATGTTTTCCAAAAATTAATTACCTTGTCATCGAATGATTCGTCTACTTAATCATGTTGTTACCTTTAAAGGTTTGCAAGTTTCTTTATATCTAAAAATGCGCTGAGCTCAAATCGAATAATGTAAACAATATACATAATAGTATCAAGGCCTGGTTATAATAATGGAATGGTGAAATGCGCATCTTTAGTGGTAAGGCCTATTTGCTGTGTGAGAAAGATGTTTTGTTTTTTCCCACCGCTTTTAGAGCCTATACATTGATTGGCGAGAATTAAGCGAATTCAGAAGGAGACCAATGGGCCCTATGTCACAAAAAAAAAAAAAAAAAAATCACTCCCTTTTATGTAAAAAAAAAAAAAAAAAAAAAAAAAAAAAAAAAAACCACTGTATAGGCCTATGATTATATTAAAAACCACTGTATACCTTATTTCAAAATTCACAATAAAATGAAAAAGATACTAAGACAATTAATCCATACGTTTTTTATTATTAAAAATGTAAGAAATATAATGATCTCTTAAAAATGTAAAATAAATTCACATCGCTTTTGTTAATGGACCGGTGATCAAAAACTTACGTTTCAAAGGGCGACAATAGAGTTCGATGTTATTAGGCAACTTTTGGTTGGCTAAGTTCAGACTCACCTCTACAAAGACATTTTAAGTCGTTGATATCCGTTGCTGTAAGGGAGCTTGCGATAGTAAAAAGCAATTTTTTGTACCGTGTGTAAAATCGTTTTGAATGCGTTTGAGGATTGTGTTCGGAACGTCTTGTATCATTTTGTACGCGGCGGTTGACGCTATTCATATTGCTTACTTCAAGGGTGGTGGTGGTAAGTCGTAGCGGTGGTAAGAAGTGCACTGCCTTCGATGGTTGCTGATATTTTCCATGGTGATAATATCGAACGTTTGGCATTGTTGGTATCTCTTACTCCATGCTTACGCCCACTTGATCTATTAAAAAAAAAATGAAACTCAAGAAATTGATATAAAGATGAAAAAAGGTGTAGCCGCGTTAGTCTGCTTATGAATATAAAAAAAGGTCAGTAGGTCTACTCATCACTTTAAGACTAACGATATAAAATATTTTATTTTCTCTAGCTTTTGTCCATGCAGTGTGGACTTCATCAAGACTGAAGATAGCCTAGGCCTAGCAGAGGCCTACCTTCTTAAAGTCGCTTATAACAAAACCTTTTTATATTTATAGTGAAGGGCCTGGGGTAGATAATTATTGTAGCTTTATTAGTACTATAACATGTTTTCCCAAACAGAAGAGTATTGACTTTTGATGGTATCGTATCGACCAGTAGGCCTACGACGTCTCTGTTGTATTGAAATTTACTGCTAAGCTTTTCCTCGCGTCACAATACCCCAAGTGGTTAATGACAATATGGTCTAATAGGCCTAATAATTGTATATACTATTGTATGTCTATTGTATTGAGATTTACTAATACTTTCCCACGCTTAGGACGTCATCGGAGATAGGCCTATTTTTGAAAGTCTTACAATGTGATAACATATTTTCCAGGCCGTAACAAAATTATATAACACTCCTAAAATGCCTAATGCCTTTATATTAAGTTATAATTATGTAAAGTTCTTAACAAGTCAGTGTCTATCTCATTATATATAACATATCCCATTTTCAGCAAATTTCCACAATTAGCTCTGATAGCCGTACCATACAATAGGCCTTTTCACCCTTGACACCTTGTTGTTCGTGAACAGACCCCCGTAGCTCGCAACAGACATGACGGAATGGCCCATGAACTTCATAGGCTACAGATGGGCCTAAATAAATCAACCCGCTCTGTACGTGTACTTCTTATACTTTATCACCTCTCGATATACAGTATAGGAGGCCTACATTACGAATAGCCAGGGAAGCTTACCAGCAAGCGTTCTGGTCCACCCGGATAGGCATAGTATTATAACAATTGCTAACAGTATTATTAAACATTTAAATAATAATAATTATGCCCAATATTATAACGAATTGGCACGCTGACACTTTACTTTTCATAACTTTTATAGTTTAATCACACGAACATCTCATTTTATGATATATGCCGGCATATCTAATAAAATCAAGACTGATCTTTATTGATTTGTTTGAAACTTCAACCTTTCTGAAAATTGCAATAAAATGGTAATATATAGTAATGTAGACAAAAGAAAAAATCATTTTTATAATAAGGTCTATTTTAAGCAAATATACAAACATTTTGGTGTAGGCCTATTTTAGCATTTTTAACAAATTATTTATACTATTCAGTATGTTATCCAGACAAAAGGAATATATATATATATATACTGTCTCTTATACACATCTAGATGTGTATAAGAGACAGTATTCATCTTTTAAACAAATAATTCAAACATTTCTCTGCCATAATTTGAAATTTTATTATTTCAATGCTCTTTTCAATGCTGAATTGAAATTAATTAATTGTCATTTTACTGTTTTTCTTGTATTGTAGGCGTGTTTATTCTATACTGTGCTTTAGTGTACCGGTACGAATGTACTGTGTTGTTTGAATGTTTGTATTGTGAACGCACCACTTGATAGTGTGTGCCACTGATATAAAAGTGTACGATTCAATAAAGTTATTATTATTATTATTATTATTATTATTATTATTATTATTATTATTGTGTCGTCATCAAGA